ACACCTTTCTCTTTACAGTGCTGTGTTTCAGGTGTTTAATGGCTGAAATAGCTGGTTTGGGAACTGAAGTGTCGTTCGTTATAATTTTTAGCAGTTTTAAGTTATTTTTTGTCTGTTTAAATGTCTCTGAGTTGTTTTTGGGACACCATGCCGTTTGTGGCTGTCAGTAGAGTCACTATGGCGACGTTCACTCAGCAGGTAAAAGTGGCCCAAATCCAATCTTTTCTTCGTGTGTGACACAGATGTGTGTCTGTGTGTCAGTGTGAACAGATAAACACACTGAATCTGACATTTTCAATTCTGATTAGAGACGCTTTCATATGTGGTACTGAAATCCGATACGTATCCGATCTGCAGCAGTGCAACTCAGTCTGAACAGCCAGATCGGAATTCATCGGCTTTTACGTCAATCAAACTCCACATTCGTCATCATTTTGCGCTGCTGACACCTTATAAACATTTGGGGTGATATTTCTGTACAAAGATTAGAAGAGAATTTCTAAAGAAATGTCCGAACGCGGCCGCAGGAGAACGAGGCTGCAGCGTCAAAGAACAGTTAAACGTCTGGAAATGTCTGGCCAAATAACATGCACTTTTAATGGTGAACTCGAACACATTTGGCCCAGTTCTCAGCCAGTGAAGCTTGATCGCTCCTATGATGCTGGCGAAGATGAAGCTGACAAAGTAAAGGATGTTAGTTTTCTGCCTGCTAGGAGCTAAAAATGTCTATATTTAAACTAAAGCCGACATAAGAACCGAGCTGGTTTATGAGGAGTCTGGCCACTTCCTATTTCCTTTGTTATATCAAAAACACGACTGCAGAACGCCAGAGGGCGCCCACGAGCAGGTCCTCAATGAATGGGAGTGAATGGAGATAAACAGCTAAAACTGAAAAGCTAAAATAGTTTCTAATCACTCGCCCAGAACTTTCCTTTAATTTTAGAAAGTAGAAGGATGAATTTTACTAAAACAGCAAAGAAAACTCACCTGTATGTTTCCTTTATTCTACAGTAAACGGGACACCAACACTACTGCTACTTAGTGCTGATTAGTTGGCGAGTGGAGCAGCTCATTGAACGTCCATGAGGCGCTGTTTTAAACTCCTATAACTCGAGTTTAAAAGCTCTTAAAAATATAACAGCAGTGTTAAAATGTTTTATGCTGCTCTGTGTTCAGGAAATTAATGTATTCTTTTACATTAAAAATGTTTCAGCATTTATAAACTATGATTTTCCTCAAATGCACCATATTAACCCATTCATTCTGGACTCGCTCAGGAGCGCCCTCTAGCGTTTGAGAAACCCAGAAGACATTACTTGAGTGTAATTCTCCTCTCTGCATTCTCTGGCATCATCTCACCCTCCAAACTCCGGCATGAATTCTCCGGCATGAATCTTTGGAACTCTTCCGTCACTCTGGATTTGACATTGTTATTGATTCTAAGGTTTGTTTTATAGCACGAGATTAATATAAACTGGGGTAGAGCTAATCCCATACTAAAGATTGCATTGTGTTTAAACTCCACTGTTATGTCTAGTTGCATTATAGGAGAGGATCCAGTTTCCAGGGCACAGATTTAGCCTAAATTAAATTACACCAGTGAATAAATTAGACTGATTAAACTGAGTCTGTTCTACAGTTTCTCATTAGGCTGAACGAATAACTGACTCTAAATGTAGGTATTGTGATATAAACTGAGTCAGTTCTACAGTTTCTCATTAGGCTGAATGAATAACCGACTCTAAATGTAGGTATTGTGATATAAAATGAGTCTGTTCTACAGTTTCTCATTAGACTGAATGAATAACCGACTCTAAATGTAGGTATTGTGATATAAACTGAGTCTGTTCTACAGTTTCTCATTAGGCTGAATGAATAACTGACTCTAAATGTAGGTATTGTGATATAAACTGAGTCTGTTCTACAGTTTCTCATTAGGCTGAATGAATAACTGACTCTAAATGTAGGTATTGTGATATAAACTGAGTCTGTTCTACAGTTTCTCATTAGGCTGAATGAATAACTGACTCTAAATGTAGGTATTGTGATATAAACTGAGTCTGATCTACAGTTTCTCATTAGGCTGGATGGGATTTTTGCCAGCGTTCTGTGTAAACCTTGTCCAGCTTCACAGTAGCGGTGAAAGAACATTGTTATTTGGGAGACTGCAATTTCACTGCAATTGTCAGTGCTGTGTTGCATCAGCTCAGCCTCTAAAGTGGAGTGTATGTTTATTGTGCTGTCTAAAGTAAAGTTCATGGCCGTAGGCCGGCTGTGGGACTGTTTGGGTCGTTTCTGACCGGCTCTTTGAGAATAATCAGGATGTGTTGCGTGTGTATAGTGTGAGTGAAGCGGCCTTGTACAGTGTGTGTTATTGCCTGCGTATCTCAGCCTGAAGGAATGTATGGAGGCAGAAACAGAAACATGTTTTTATCGTGTTTTTACTCTGTGTTCCTGTTTCTCACCCGCTGCAGATGCAGTGCTGCTCATATTATCTGTTTTCCTACAGTTTATCTCCACTCAGCCTCATTAGACACTGTGTAGTCAAACCCTCCAAACCTGTATTCGATTTTTTATTATGAAGGGCCCGAAAAGCTTTTAAACGCCAATGGCAAAGTTTTATTGTTTTGTTTTGTTTTTTATTAATAAAAAAGAGTCTCATGCAGAATGTAAACATATCAAAACGTACTGTTCACTCCCCACCACACACATGGAAACTAAGCGGCAAAAACATCCCATGTTAAAATCATTGGTTTTGTGATGTCACAAAAAATAAAACATTCACACACTGCAGATTCATACTGGATTAAGAACACTTTATAATTATTAATGTCACACTGCACATTCATACTGGATTAAAATCAATGTAAAATTATTACTGTCAGACTGTAAAACCACACACACCGTAGATTCATACTGGATTAAAATCGCTCCACAATTATTACTGTCAGACTGCAAAATGAATAACTGACTCTAAATGTAGGTATTGTGATATAAACTGAGTCTGTTCTGCAGTTTCTCATTAGGCTGAATGAATAACCGACTCTAAATGTAGGTATTGTGATATAAACTGAGTCTGTTCTACGGTTTCTCATTAGGCTGAATGAATAACCGACTCTAAATGTAGGTATTGTGATATAAACTGAGTCTGTTCTACGGTTTCTCATTAGGCTGAATGAATAACCGACTCTAAATGTAGGTATTGTGATATAAACTGAGTCTGTTCTACGGTTTCTCATTAGGCTGAATGAATAACCGACTCTAAATGTAGGTATTGTGATATAAACTGAGTCTGTTCTACGGTTTCTCATTAGGCTGAATGAATAACCGACTCTAAATGTAGGTATTGTGATATAAACTGAGTCTGTTCTACGGTTTCTCATTAGGCTGAATGAATAACCGACTCTAAATGTAGGTATTGTGATATACGCTGAGCTCTAGGCTGAATGGGGCTCTGTAAAGCTCCTACAACAGTAGCACGTGTGGGTGAAGACGCCTGGAGAGGGCAAGTGATTGATTTATTGATCTTCCGAGAGTCTAGGCTCCACTCCAGCCTAATCCAGGCCAGGTTTGCGTGCTGCCCTGCCTGTTTACTGGCGTAGAGACAAGAAAGGAGATCCAGAGAGAGAGAGGGAGAGTGAGTGAGTGAGTGAGAGAGGGAGAGAGGGACACATGTCAAGTCCAATCCACCAGCTACCTCTAACGTGGGGGGGAAATATCTATCGTTTTGGTTTGTTTTCTATTGAATGCATTTCTCAGTGTCTCTGGCTGCGTTGGTTTCAAGTGGACTGAACACTGAAGAAGAGTAACTGGGTCTTGGTGCCGGATCAGACCAGAACAGACAGGAGGAGATAACTCGCTGTTCGTTTGTTTTGATAAGCAGAGACGAGAAGAGGCTGCTTTGGGTGGAAAAGTCAGACTGAAATCTCAGCTGCTTTGCTGTAATAGCCGCCGCCGCTGCTGCCTCTCTGGATCTAACATTGCATGCCCAGCAGTTAGATTAGTTGTCCCGGGCTTTGAGGCTTTGGTCTGCAGGGCGATTACAGGCTTATGCTGCAGAATATTAGCCATAGCGTTCATGTCAGCAATAATAAGGCGGAGATGCGCTGTTGTCAACAATATTAGGGCTGAGATACTTTATGGTGGAGAACATCAGAGCTGGCGAATTTAACTAAGCCAAGCGAGTTAGTTAACTAACTAACCTAGCTGAGTTAAAGGACACAGCTTTGGACACTTCACAGTCATACGAATATAGAGTCATACCCGAGCTGGGACACTGTGTGACCAGTTAGAGGCACAGCAACTGAAGTCTGAGTCACTTTTTGGTGAACAGATTAGAATTTAGCGGATATTTACATTAACGCTGCTGTAAGTTAATATAGCAGCTGCTGGCTAACGTTAGCCGAGGACAAAATTCATTTATTATCAGCACCAAATGTGCTGGACCGGACCTGCGTCCGCACAAATCGCACATTAATAGGGTTTGAATGTGGTTTTAGTGCCTTAAGGAAGCGCAGAGGGCGAACTTCTGTTTATTTAACCCTCTAAGCTAAGCTAAGCTAACTTTGTTTTGGCCTCTGCGAGCTAAGCTAAGGCTAACGAGGTTAAAATCGGACGCGGCGGCCGAACGAGAGAGTTAAGTGGTCAAGAAAGCAAAAAAAAAATGAAAACCCAGCAAGGCTTGATGAGTGAAGTCGTGCGCACACGTTTTGCTTCGTGTCGACGGTTAAGTTCCTCCGAATGAGCTGAGCTGAGCTAAAGCTAAAGCTAACGGACGCGCTTAGCGAGCGGCTAGCAGGCTAAAGCGACCAACGTTAAAGTGAACACGTTGAACTTCCATCTCCGCCCATTTTCAGGGGGCGACGAGATTTTTTTTTTTGTAAGTTTAGACACTAAATTTGCTCTAATAAGCAGTTTTGTGAGCGTTTTTGGACGGGATTCCCGGTCACTTTTCCCCCCGTCAGCAGGAGTGAAAGTGTTTAACGCGGTTTTCGTTCAGGATGCAGCTGCGGACTTGGGCTGGTTTGGTTCTGACCGTCTTCGCTGTGTGGAGCTGCCAGCAAACCAACGGAGAAAGTAAGTCGATTCAGCCTGTGATGATATTAATATATCAACTTATCCATTTTCTGTGCATTAATATTACAGTTTTGACACTGTTTTAACGCGAATGGCTGCATTTGTTGTTGTTTATCTACTCCAAACTGGACACTGTAGGTACAGCACTGTTGCAAAGCCAAGAGTGGAGAGCTAACTAACCTAACTTATGCTTTAATATAAACATAAACACTTAGAAAACACGGTTCTTCAGGGGTTCTTCAGTAAAGAGTGGTCCTGTTTAGATCCATGAGTGCTATACATAACCGTTTCATGCCTAAATGGTTGTCTGCATGGTGTTTAATGGAGAACGTGTTGTATGCGTTTCTGTTTAGAACCATTTTGAATAAGGTGCCGTATAGCACCACACGCTTGACACTGTAACAGTAGCAGAACCCTTTTTTTTGGTGCTACATAACTAGAACCATATATAACACATTCTCCATTGGTCTGAAGGATGATTTCACCATGCAAGAAACCATTTAAGCACGATATGGTTCTAATATTAATAATATCATATTGCATTACATTATATTATTATTAATAATAATAATGTAGAACCTTTTTCGAAAATGTTCCTACATAGCACCAAAAGGGGTTTTCTGTTGTCAGTGTCAAGCCTGTGGTTCTTTTTGGTGCTATACAGAACCATTTTTTAAATAGAACCATGTATAACATATACATCAATCTGAAGAATCATTTAAGCATGATATAATTGTGTATGGAACATTTTTGGAACATGGTTCTGCAAAGCACCAACTCTGATCGAGTGGGTTAAGGTTTCCTAACTGGAGATGCTGTGAGATTAAAGGATGTGCAGTGACATACAGATACAATCAAGTGCTGCGGTTCTCATATACAGTCTTAAACAAGATGGTTCTTTAAGGGTTCTTTAGAAAGCACAGTAGTTCTGTATAGACCCATGAAAGCTTAAAGAACCATTAGCATGCATAAATGTTGTTTTTTTTTTTTTTGCATGGTGAAATGGTTCTGGACACTTAGATTATTCATTAAAAGTTCTCCAAAAAAGGCATTGGTTCTGTTTCGGACCATGAGTTCTAAATGGAACCGTTTCATGCTTAAAAATTGCTTGGTGAAATGGTTCTGCACACCTAAACATTATTCTTCAAGGGTACTTTAGTAAAGAGAATTGTTCTGTTTAGAACAATTAGTTCTATATAGAACCATTTGCATGGGTTTTCGTATAGTGAAATGGTTCTGCACACCTGAAGATTGTTCTTCAAGGGTACTTCAGTAAAGGCAGGGGTTCTGTTTAGAACAGTTCTGTGCAGAACTACTTGCCTACTTAAATGGTTCTTTGCTTGGTGAAATGGTTCTGCACACTTAAATATTCCTGTTCAAGTGTTCTTCATGACTTCATGAACCATGAGTTCTATATAGAACCATTTCATGCTTAATTGTTTTTTTGCATGGTTAAATGGTTCTGCACACTTAAACATTGTTCCTTAGGGGTTCTTTAGTAAAGGAAATGGTTCTGTTTAGAACAGTTAGTTCATTAAATGGATCTTTGCTTGGTGAAATGGTTCTGCACGCTTAAAGATTGTTCTTTAAAGTAAAGGCTGGTTCTGTTCTGAACCATGAGTTCCATATGGAACCATTTCATGCTTAAATGTTATTATTATTATTATTATTTTTTTGCATGGTGAAATCTTTCTGCAGAAGACTGTTCTTCAAGAGTTCTTTAGTAAAGAATGCTTCTATTTAGAGCAGTTCTGTATAGAACCTTTTGCATGGTTCTTTGCCTGGTGAAATGGTTCTGGAGAATGTGTTATAAATGGTCCTATAACCTTTTTGAAAACAGTTCAAGCTTTTCAAGATTAAAAAAGTAGAAGAACCCCACTTTGGTGCGATATAGAAGTATATACATCACTCTGAAGAACCATTTCACCTTGCGCAGAACTGTTTAAGCATGCAAACGTTTGTGTTCATGGTTCTATATGGAAGCGTTTCCTTTACTATAGAACCGTCTTTAAGAGTGTGCAGTACATACAGCTGAAAGAACTGAGCAGCAAATAAAAACGTAAACATTTATAAAATATGTGTATTGCAACAAGTTCAGCTGAGCACTGAGTGCAGTCTGGTAAGGTGGAGAGGCTCTTATTCAGAAGTGTTATGGGATGTTCAGTAGTTATACGCATTAATAAAGCGTGTAATAAAGTGCGTGTGCGGCAGTTTGAAGCCGAGGGATGTGGGAATGTTGAACGGCTGTGGTGCGGAGAGCGGGAGCCGCCGGGCTGTTTGCCGTCGTCCTCGTACGCGATGAATGTGTTTCACTGTTGCTCCCTGAGTGTTTGTTTTTCCATGAACACAAAGACTTGGAGTTTTACCCCACGAGCCGGAGAACAGCCGGAGAGGGAGCAGCCGGGCCGCTGACGTCCGGAGACGGGCCGGAAACGTGCGCTGTTGTGATTTAACGCTGTTCACCGTGACCTGGAATAAATACAGCTGTGCTTGTGACACACTTGGCCTCGGCCGACGCGGCGAGCGCCGCCGTGTCTTCGGCTCAGCCTTGAGCGCCTGTGTTTCTGTTCTTAACCTTGAAGCTCAAAGGCCAGCAGAGCTGCTGCCGCGGAACCCGCCAGAACAGCAGCGGGGGGGCTGCTTTGGTCCTGGTGGGAGTCTGTTTTGACTGAGGCCCCATCCATGTGTACACCAGGGCCTCAACCATGAACACTCAAAGAACCATTTGCATGATTAAAGTGTTCTTTGAATCGCGAAACGTTCTTCAGATTGATGGAATATTTACAAGCTTGACATCGTAACAATAGAAGAACACTTTTGGGTGCTATATAGAACCATTTTAAAGAAGGTTCTTTATAGAACCATCTACAGCACATTTTTCATCAGTCTGAAGAGCCCTGTTATGATGCAGAGAACCCTTTAATCATGCAAAGGCCTCTTTGAGTGTTCATGGTTCTATATAGCAGTTTTCTTTACTAAAGAACCCAAGAAGCACATCCTTTTTTTAAGAGTGTAGAGATGCAACGATACCACTTTTTCCTTTCTGATACCGATACCTGATCTTTAAATATATGCCGATACCGAGTACTGATACCGATACTACTTCTGTCTAGCATAGCGAACCTATATATATATATATTTTTTTTTTTTTACATACTTTATTCATATTTTTGCACATCAATAAGACAGCACATTGTGCCTTACTGACTGATTTGCTTGTCCCTTTTTAATGGCTGTGTGTTTCAAGGCTTAAATAACCAGCAGAAACTCAGTCTTAAATGAGTGTTGTAGCTCTGGGGGCGGGGCTAACCGTCGTTTCATCGGCTCATTGAAAGTTTTCCACCTGTTGCCGCTATTTGCGATATTTTTGCCGATTATCAATAAACCGTAGCTTGGCGGTATTACAGGATGTCAGTCAGCTGACATGTTGGCGAAGTTCTAATACGTATATTTTTGAAAACAGTATTTTTTTCTACGATTTGGCCTCCTGCACCTACTAAAACGGCACTTTTGGAAAGCACTGGCCACCAAGGTCATTTTTAAAACTTTTTGTTTTACTGTGTGGGTCATTTATTTATTTTTTAAACTCTTTACTAACATCTCTTGCGTGTGGTTATCCTGTTTCTCTGCTCAGTGATATCAGGTTTTCTAATTTTGCTTCGTTTAGCTATTTTTGTTTATTTGGATTTTTACCAAATTTTCCCCCAATTTTACTCGTTGTCAACTCCACCCGATAGCTAGATCCCCCACTGTCGCCTGATCTTACCGAGCCGGAAGCTAACGCAACAAGCAAGTGCTAATTCTACAGCAGGACTTGATGTCACGGTGTTGTGGTTACGGATGGCTGTGGCATCAGCGAGCGCTGAACTCACGACCTACTGATGATGGCGTTGATGCTCAGACAGTTAGAGCCCAACACAAACACAACATATCCAGTTTCCAGTATCTTTATCCCCTTAGAATTAACTGGGCTGTTTTTGTTACTGTAAGGCTGCCCTTATTCAAAAAGCAATCCATGCTGAAACACTCAGTATAACTTTAGCTTGAGTGGGTGGGGTTAAACTGCTGTACTGGTGTATAAAGAGATTATTTGTGGCTTCACCAAAACAGTTTTAGTTTAAAAGGTGGCTCAGTTTGCATGTATGAGTGAATGGTACACTTTGGGACTTTTTGGTACAGTGTTTATGTACCACTAAATAACCAGTGAGTACTATTTTTCCATGATATGGACCCTTTAATACTTTAATACTTGTCGAGATTGTGTTGTCGCTCTTGTAACCCACCCTAACGCCCTCACTGCGACTTCATACTGCATATTTAACACTACGCAGGCTTGTAATGTTCTTTTTTTCATAAACTCTGACAGTTTGGCAGCAGATTTTTCAAAAAATAGAGAGGAAAAAGTGTGTTTTAGGGAGTGTGGACGAGGCCTGCGCTGGGAATGGTGGGCAGATGCCGATATCATATCCAGTATGTTTTTCTTCGTGTGCATGTCTGCTGATGCAGATACAAGAACATATCGCTGTTGTCGGACGTTTTTCAGTTTTTGACATAATTTGAAAATTTGCCTGTTGTTCTTTACGTTGTGTGCAAATTTCATGATGAATGGATCAAAAGAAGCAACCTGAAATGACTTGGAAAGACGTCTGGTTCCATTGACTTACATTAAAAGTAAAGTATGTTTTTTCCTTCTCCTGTAAAGTTACCATTTTGGAGATACAAGGTTTTCCTCCGACATATTAAGTGTGGAAATGTGGACTAAAGCTGTGTAGATTAGCATTACAGGCAAATCTAATGATTGTAGGAGAACATTCTGCCCTCCTGGAGTTCAACAAGTACATCATCACATACTGGATTAAAATTGCAGCCAAATATCAACGTCTGTCAGATGCTGAGGATTCGTCTAAGCACGTCTGCTGATGCTGAGATCAATCCACAGTCATCATGCATGTCTGGGTGGTGTGTGTTGGGACCCTCAGTGTTGCTGCTGTTTGGTCAGA